GTACGCATTCCAAATATGGCTTTATGATTCTGTTAATTTTGGTGGTTTCTGATAAAAAAATGGGGATTTTATGTCTGAAAGTAAGGTGTTGATTAGGTTTTTTTTTTAACTTAATTGAAGAATATCTATGAGTCGGTTCCTCCATTGCATTTGAATATATATATATATATATATATATATATATATATATATATATATATATATATATATATATATATATATATATATATATATATATATATATATATTGTTTATAACTTTTAGGTTAGTGAAATTAGCAAGGGGGAAAGGTAAAGCATGTACATGACAAAAGAAAAAGACTTATCAAGGTAATCCTGCGAGGTTGTTTCCAATGTGCAAAAGCAATATATTAATTACATCTAGACATAACTGGTTTTTATCCTACTTCTGTCTCTCCAAATAGGTTACTTATCTTAAAAATCCTTGAAAATTGTAAAGTTTCTTTAGCAAATTTGAAGATGAAATATAGTCTCATTAACTTTCATAGTCAAAAAATTTATGTTCATTTACTTATTACTATGAACCCAATGTTTTTGTTCATTGCATTCATGAAAACCCAGGTTTTCGTTTTTAGATTGTTATGGCCTCTTGCATATAATATAAAGGCATATTATAAGGTATACTCCAAAATAAAGACGCCCTTGACTTTTTAGTCACATACTTTGTTGCCAAATTCATAAATATGGCATGGTTATTAAGTTTTTTTGAAAAAGATGTTCATAGTTCCCCCCTGAGTAAAGTGATTAAACTAATGATCTAAACTTTCTAGCAAACTTTAAATGTCCGTACTCCATAGGAATTACAAAATAATAATTACTACATTTGACCCCAAAAGTCAAAATTTGCTGTAACTGATACTTGTTCAATTTAATAAAATATAAACTCTATTAATCTATCGTTATAAATTAAAAATAATCTGTTTTTTTTTGCACTAATATTATCACCATTATCTATGTATTCTGGTGTATATGTACATATTGAAGTGTCATTTTAATTGGGACGGTATATAGGGGTATATGAGTATTGCGTAGATTCCTCCTTTTAGGTTATGCTACTTGTGTTTGATGTGGCTAATATATAATTGGTTTAAATTGTCAAAGCATGTGCAAGATTTTAAGCACAAATTAATGTAATCAATGAAAAAAGATATAAGATAGTGAATGTAATAGGGATATTATCCTCGGTACTCATGCAATAGTTTATTCTTCTTACATGTTCTATTATAGCCTTCTAATAGATTTTTTTTCCTTGGATCTTTAGTTTATAACTACGAGGCAAGATATAAGACATGTAAGGAACTCAAAATCATGGGTATTAAGATGAGCATTTGGTTCCCGTGATCGAAAACACTGCCCATGAGAGAGTTGATATTGCTCTTCAAAGTTATATAACAGATAGTAAATATTCATCTCCAATGTTGAAATAGTACATGTATTACAAAATAAGTCGATAAACGTAAGTTTTCAATCTTATACAAATTGTATATTCACAAGCAGAAATTTATTGAAGGCATAACAATAATCGGTGGATTGATTGGAGTCCAGTGTTTTTATGCAGAAACTCAGTTTGTAGAAGTGCTCATGTTTTCTATCGATCCTTGGTCCCCTTTGATCATTTCCCTCGATTTTGTCACCTTTCTTATCCTCTCCATTTTCGCATTATTCTTTTAAAAGTAACCAAGATTTTGAAATCGATCATTTGAAAATCTAAATACTAGATCAATAAAAGCTTCCAAGTATTATTTGGGTACCTGCGTTAGCAGTGTAACTTCATTTTCTTAACCATAATAGCAATATATTTTCATTTCTTTACCAATAATAGCAAAATAGTTTTTTTTTTTTTTTTTTTTTTTTTTTTTTTACAATAATAACAAATTAGCAACATACTAAAAATTGTTCACCCATAATATCAAGGTACATACATTTCTTCAAAGCCATGGATAATAATGAAAGAAATACTTATGTTACCCTACGTGGGCCGCGCTAAGCACGGGCCTCAAAACATTCCTAGAAAAAACTTTTTCTCTCGTGCCTTCTAGATCAATTTTACCCTCTTCTTTGGAGGCCACGTAACCTACTCTTGAACGATGCAGTGAATCGATTCATATTACTTTTAACGACGCAAGGAGTTGATTCATACATATTTTGTTTCGGTTGTGTCGTATCACTTTACGTTTCAAATTTATTCAATCAGACGCTCTTCCCTTCCTCCTACTCTCGCTGTTCTCCATTAAACACAACTCCCACTTAGAGAAAATCTCTGATCAAATACTCCACAGAAAAACCTATCTGGCGAACTTTGGTTACTGCACAAGAAAATTTCCACGAAAGGCTCCGTAGAAAAATCCATTAAAGCCTCTGCAGACCCCCCCCCCCCCCCCCTAAATGGCCTCCACATGTGTCTATTCATCTTCTTTGTCGGTGATTCATGATATTCTTGACTCCTTAACAAAGGATATATTTCATTTACTTTTCACTTGTATATTTCATTTAACTGTATGTTCACTGTCAAATGACTCGAACTGGAACATCATCGACATAAATCACATACTTCATTATTACCTCAAGAATCCTTCTAATTTTTAAATAATAATCAAGTTTGTGACAGTGTAGACGAAGACAAACCTTGCTATAGAAAACCATCAAATAAAACACCAATAATGATTGATGTTTTAGAAATGTTATTTTTCACTTTTGACTATTGTTGCACTTTTTCCCTTATATATACCTCTTCCATCCACATCCTATTTGACCCTCCGTTATTCTTCAAGTGTTAAACAGTTAATCATCAATAATTTGGATGGTCTTAAAATATGAAATTGTATAATCATCGATTCATATTCCTCTGTCTATATATCCAACTCTTCTAAGTATTTACCAGATTGTGAAAGCTAAACGTGTATGTTTCAAGTTGCTTTTCATCATTATCGACACGCCAAAGGAATTATTTGTTGGTTACAGACCATGGCAAGTTTCTATACTCAACATCAATATGTATGACGAAATTTTTAATCTATTTTTGCTACAATATAGTTAGATTTTGAAATTAGGTACATCAATTATGTATGTTGGCTTGTAGTTGCAGGGAAGTCATCAAGGGCATGGTTGCACGGGAGCCTGACACCATTTTAATAAGATAATATTTTCATCTGAGTCTTCAATGTTGGTCACAAAATAATCACAAGTCGGCTTATCAGGTCATCTTTTTAGCTTCATACCTCCAATTATTATTTTTGTTATAAAAACATTCCAAGTTTTCTATTTTTTTTTGTAGTTCTACAGTAACTGTTGACCTCTTCCAAAAAACATCCTTATCACATTGGTCTTTTTCTATTGTACTTAATGAAGTTAAGAGTTAAGTTAAGGAAATGGGGCTTCTCCTATTAATTCATGACCTTTTCAAAATTTGTCCTTATTTATTTTTTAATCCTTTTTTTATCAGAGTAAAGTGGGGCATATGGAGGGGTTGACCCGATGTCCTATTTTGAATTTGTGTTTGATATGGTGAGAATTGATGATGATTTTTCAAATTCAAGCTTCATGATCTCACTTCTACCATTTCTTTAGTTGATTCTTAATTTAGTTTAACTTTTTACTAGAACATTAAACATATAGATTTTGATGTCATATATAAAATTTACATTGAGGTAGAAAGCAAACACAAGAGAGATCGGGACTTAGTCACTGTCGACAAGAAAGGTATATAAATTTGGTCCATTCATGATCCGATTGTTGTGGTGTTATTGCTGAATTGCTATGAATCATGAGTGTATGAAAAAGCTGTAGCTTTCGAATTTAAGGATAATGATACATAATTCATTTTGAAACCTGAAGTCAAAATTTGTTTTAAATTATACTTGTTCATTGATATATGAAACATAAACTCTATTGATGAGTTCTTGCATTTATATTCATAATCGGTTCTGAATTCTCCATTGTAGACTGAGCCTACAAAGTCGGTGCCTGAGAAATACTATTGACTATCGAGAACCATAAGACTCATGGCCTTTACCTATCCAACTACTTGGAAAAATTAGCGACACCATATATGTAGTCTACTATCAAACAAGCCTCTATACAAGCAACTCATGTCTTTAGTTTTTAATTGTTTGTAAATGTAAGTTTTTGGAAGTACCGTGACTTAGATAGAAATTTATTGAATTACAAAGATGTAATAGAAATAAATGAAAATGCATTACTAAAATACAATGTATTTGCACTTTCTCGGTATTAGTAAATTTTAAGATAATTCAAAAATTCCCAAATCACCCTTCATGGATCGTGCTTAGCACGGGCCTCAAACTTTTCTAGTATATATATACACTAATAAAAGAATAGCTTTTTTACCATGTGTCATCATATTAGACATTTTAATTAATGTGTTGCTATTTGTCAATGTATTAGTTTTCAATTTTAAATTTATTAGACATCCTCATTAATGTGATTTTATTGTAAATTTTAAATTTTAAATTATTGTTTTCATTAATTCACAAATAAAAAATATCTAATATATATTAAAAATTAATTTTATTTATTTTATTTGAATCAATGATTATAATTTCACATAACTAATAAAAATATCTTTTAAATTAATAATTTATTTAAAATAACTTATTAATAATTTTGAGTTTTTACTATAAAAGTTTGATTAATTTTATAACCGTAGTTCCCATTGGTTATAAATTAGTGTGTATATATATATATATATATATATATATATATATATATATATATATATATATATATATATATATATATACTTCCTTGCAAGACATTGATCGATAAATTGTAATGAAGGCGATAATGTTTTCTTAGGAGAAGGTTTCAACAATACGTTAGGGATCAATTATGAAATATGTAGTCATAATTACTTTTTTTTATTGGAACTGATAAAACCTTTAACTAAAAGATGAACACTTGAAATGACTAAAATACCTCTAATCCAAGAGACACATAAGACTCATTAATAGTGGTGTGGATATGGTAAAGGAGCTAAGAACGACTTTTGATGAAATTGGATGCAATAGGAACTAATGGTGTCAAAATTAAAAAACTAGTGTAAAACTCAAATTTCTACCAACCAAAGGGACCAAAATAAGTTTAGGAGAAGTTTATTTTTCAAAATTGAAATGGAGAAGCCCATTTATTCATTCGGGCCCAATTGACCTGGGACGGGTTTAACCCGTTTGTAACTCCGTACAGATGTATAGATAGGGCAGGCGTAGCCGCGTAGGTCTTAAGCTTTTATATCATTCTTTCGTCAAATCAACGCTAACTACTAGAAAGTTTTCCAATCTCTTCACTCGATCGTATCGTTCTACTGGTAAGAAAGATTACTGATTTATATCTTTTGTGCCGCTTTTAATTCCTTTATACTTAGATCTTGATGTTCTTTAGTTTTTGTTGTTTGATCTATGAGCTGCGATTGATGTTCTTCTTTTGCGTTTTTTTGTATATAATTCATGAGTATAATCTATTTCATGATTAGAAACATGATCTTGATAGTTCTTTACTTTCCTTTCAGAACGGTGGATAATTATTTTGTCAATCGTAATCGTATTTCTAAATTTTAATTTTATGTTTGCGATATTTACTCTTCGGCATCGTATTGTTCAATTTCACACCAATCATAATGATTCTATATGTTCAATCATCTCCCTGATTTGTTTATTTCGAAGATAATATAAATTTAGCAAATCAGGAATTAAGATCTAGCTGTTTGGTTTTGAATTTGAGGATTGCCGATTGGGGAAAGTTTATATATTCACAGTAGACTATCAAAACATTCTTCTTTTTGACGCTAATGCTCTGTTTACTCGTGTACGCAGCTGTAAACATGTCTGATGATGTGGAATACCGCTGTTTTATTGGTGGGTTATCATGGTCAACATCTGATAGAGCTCTAAAAGATGCATTTTCAAAGTTTGGGCATCTTCTTGATGCAAAGGTAACATATGGTTTACAAGTTTTTTTAATTCATTCACCAATTTATCTCTTTACATTTTTCTTTTTTCATGTTATTTAGGTGGTTGTAGACAAGGAATCCGGACGTTCACGAGGATTTGGTTTTGTGACTTTTGATGAAAAGCAAGCAATGGAAGATGCAATTGAAGCAATGAATGGAATGGATTTGGATGGAAGGAACATCACAGTAGACAAAGCTCAACCTCAAGGTGGTTCAGGCAGGGATTATGGTGGTGGTGGTGACCGTGATCGTGGGCGTGACCGCGGCCGTGACCGCGATGGAGGCGGCCGTCGTGGCGGCGGAGGTGGTGGCGGTGGTGGTGGTGGAGATTGCTTCAAGTGTGGTAAACCTGGACATTTTGCTAGGGAATGTCCAAGTGAAGGCGATAGAGGTGGCGGTAGGTATGGCGGCAGGGATGACCGTTATGGCGGTGGACGTGGCGGAGGTGGCGGCGGTGGTGGTGGTCGTTATGGTCCTGACAGGAATGGAGATCGTAATAACGGACGCAGTAGGAATGGCGGCGGAGGTGGCGGTGGCGGCAGTGATCGGTATGGCCGTGACCGTTCTGGACCATATGAACGCCGATCAAGTGGCGGTTTCCGATGATGGGAGATTCTGGTATGATATAAATACATATATAGATATAGATATATTGAAGTTGATGTAAGGAATTGTGTGATGTGATGGATTTGTTTGAATTTGCAGATGAAGATGGTGGATCTAAAAAAGATGAAAATGGTGGTGGTTTTTGTTTCTGAAAGATGTCTCGTTTTAATTCGTACAATGTAGTAATGAATCAAAATCAAACTTTTGAAAGTTTTCACAACTTGGGACTCGACTACTTCTATGTTGGATTGGTTCGGTGTGTTCTAAAATGCTGCTCTCTTTCTCTACTTTCTTGCATAAGTGATTAATGATGAATGATGAATGATGATCTCTATACACAAACAAATTACTTTTGGGTTCTTTTGGTGACAAAATGGAGGTAAAATTTTGTGACTTGATCAACTGAAAAAAAAATATACTCTTGGTGTGTATTTTATTAATGTGTTTGACCTTTTGGCAGGCTGTGTTCAGTGTTGTGGCTAAATATATGTGGGTACATGATATGTTGATAGTTTGGTTGTGATTAAACATGATAAAATTGGGAATGGTTTTTGAGCACAAGCAGCTTATCTGCAAATCAAATAATTGATCATCAAAAAGGGGGAGATTGAGATTGTTGATGGCATCTGGCTTTGGCTTTGTTTTGGGAAGATGGTTCTTGTTGTCCTTATTTTGCCTTGCCTTGCCTTGCTGAGTGTGTGCTAATTCCTTCCTTGTGTGCTCATTGTTCTTGTTTTTCCTCGTGACACTTCTGCCCTTGAATATCGTTTTTTGGTGGATGCTGATGCTTTTTTCGAGTCGTGTATCGTGGAAGAACATATCTATCGTTCTAGAAAAGTTATTTTTTCAGCAACCCCTGAGCTGAGCTGGCCCACGTCTCTCTGTCCCATTCTCACTCACAGAAACATCATGTGAGATGTAAAGCAGGTACATACAGTGCCCAATAAGGAGCCCAATTCACATTGAATTAAAGCTCTGATATAATTCAAATTGCGGCTACCGAGACTCGAACCCTTGACCTTTTTCTGCAAGTATGCCGTTTGAAACTTGTTACTTGAGTGCCTAATCTGCTACTACTTGGTATCCGATCTTTTCTTTTGTTTGCGCCCTGCTGCCTTTATTGATTTTTTTTTTCTTATGTGAATTGATCTTACAGCTTGATGAGTTGTGTCCTCAAGGACATGATGTATTTTACTATTTATAATTCTGTTTTTGCATGATTTAGGTTGAAGCTTACATGGTCATTTATTGCTATTTTTCATGAGATGGTAGTAACTAAATAATGTATACAATTAATTTTACAGCATCCTTCTACTTCGTTGAATTTTCCCTTGCACTGATGGAGTTTAAGTAGTCTGTTTTTTTGTTTGTTATGGTTTATAAATATGGTGGCACATTAAAAACATGGATAAACATGGATGCGGTGGGAAATGTGAATATACCCTTAAGGGTATAATGTATACAATTATGATGAGTTTGGGTTATATATATATATATATATATATATATATATATATATATATATATATATATATATATATATATATATATATATATATATATGTATATATATATATATATATATATATATATATATATATATATATATATATATATATATATATATATGGCAACCAACTATCTATATATCCCTCTTTCAAAAAGAAAAAAAACTATCTACATACTGTCTACATATCAGTAAAGCTTTGTATATTGTTTAAATTATCACCCTAAGTCTGTACTTATCTTTTATTTTTCATCCTTTCTCTGCCACATTACTACCCTCTTTCATCTTTCAAGCCATGTTATATCTACCTTTCATCTTTCAAGAGCATTGCTCACATGTTTGTAGCACAATATACAAGTAGAGAGAGAGAGAGAGAGAGAGAGAGAGAGAGAGAGCAGTGTCCGGTTTGCTGCGGGTCGGAGTAGTGGAGTGGAGGAGCTGCGACATGGTGTGCCAACATGTCAACATGTGCATGCTTCCTACCTTATATCCCTTCGCCCCTTTGTAGGAGATATAAGACATAGTCTTATATGTCACCGAAGTGATGTGGATTGAAATTAAAACTTAACAATTGTTTGAGTTTCTGTAAATAATTCTCTTTAAACCCAAATAAATTGTTTTTTTTTCTTCTGACTTTCTTGACATGTTTTAAACATTTAAGAGATTTGACTTTAGGGATTGTGCTACAAATACGATTGTTTTTTTTTCCAATGTGTTGTAAACACCTAAATGCCTATCCACACTGGAGACTTCATATGATTAAACTTATTGTTCTTCGACTTCCCTGCATGCCTTTCGTCTTCCACAAACTGTCCTAAATCTCTAAACAAAAGCATATTCTAGAAGAAAATCATATTCTAGAAGGGTAAACTGGTAAAGTATCCAAACCTTTTAATAGAACGAAGTGTGCTTAGAAGCTAACTCTCAAATCCATGAAAGCAATATTACAAGATATAGAGGTCACATTGTAGGAGGAGAAAAAGAAAATCAAATGTGCTATTATGTAATTGAATTACTTACATAAGATAAGTGATCGAAGCTTTGACTAAATTGAAGTTGTGGCAACCAAATATCATTAATCATGGCAGACAAAATTAAAATTTGTTGACACTACAAGAAACGAGATCTATAGGGACGACAAATGTTGTCTCTATAGGTTATAAAAAGTCGTCTCTATAGGTCGTTGTGATGACAAGTCGTCCCT